ACATACTGTCTTCATTCATAGCGATAGTCTAGCGGTCTTGTCGGCGATCGTCAGTTACAAACGACAAAGACAGGACAATACTTGATAAAACAAGTGCTTGACAAAATCGAAAAGATCAAAAGAATGGAAGGAAGAGAAGGAACCATAGTCCGATTGAACTGGATCCCAGGACATACGGGCATCTATGGTAACGAACTAGCTCATAGAACAGCCAACGAGGGAAGGACAAAATGTAATCATTACACCAACATTGACTTCACACTTAGGACTTCATACTCAGCAATGCGACGCAGAATGCGCGAACGCTATACAGCTCCACTGAAAATCGAAGCCTCGAAATTGTCAGTCATCAAGTCCAATACCTCAAAAACATCAGCCGCAAAGCTGACAGCCGCAAAAACTGCTAAGATCCTCAATGAACTACCCAGAGCGACACGGTGCCTAGCAACCCAGCTACGTACAGGTCACTTCCCTACGACTAAGTCATACCGATACCGATTCAAACTAATCGACTCACCGAAATGCAGGACGTGCGGCATAGATGATAGCATCTCGCACAGAATATTTGTATGTAGAAGACACATAATGGCAAGAATCACCTTACGAAGAAAGATAACCAAGATCAACATTCGGTTCGAATTAGGTCCAATGCTCAGGAACGCACAAGCTCTTTAAGCCCTTTACGAGTTTTTCAAACCGCAATTGACTACGTACCTAAGATACTCCGGTGGTTCGGCGTAACCGAGAAAATTCCCGGACACGCAAATCATCAAGACATTTTACGACATTAGTCAAGAGACGCTTCCCACCAATTCAACACACCATTCAAATCCTCATGCTTTAAGAAGTATTGATGGACGCAGTTTAACTTTGTATCGTCTTAACAATATATTTAGATTTCATCATCAAAAAAAAAAATTTTTAATATATTATTTTATTATTTCCACGCCTAGACTTTCAAATTTGACTGTGAAGTATGCTACATCATGGGTTGCTCACATTGTTCTATCTATTACATGCCTATCTTTCCTACCAAGTTTATTTGCTAAGGAGCTTAGAAGGGGCAAGGAGAATTGCAGAGGTTCTGACTTATGTCTCGTTGACCCAAGTAGTTTTGATAATTTTAGCACAGAGGAGAATGGAGGAGATGATAGTTTGTACATATCAATAGGTGGAAATTTTATACCTGAATTGTCTGGTGGTGATCCTGTGAACGATGAATCAAGTTTCAACGGGAAGCGTAGTATGCAAAAGAGACTAGGCCTAGCCTCTTGTTGTTTTGGCCAATTTGCCAATGTTGCAAAGCGTTCTGAAAATCAGGCAGGAGCGGTAGACACTCACAGTGTAATACAATCAAGGGCACGTGATTTGCCATACAATTACAGATATGGGCAAGGAGGTCTTTCGAGAGCTTGGTATGATGGTATACCCAACCATGCTTCTACAGCACTAGGAATTAATGCTGGGTACAATACTCTTAGACAATTTATTGTGGATATGATTACTGTAGCCAATAAGGATAATAGGTGCAATAATGATCCTTTCTACGATGCAACACAGCGCACAGGGCTTAAAATGTGTATTATAGACGAAGGCAGCTGTGCCACTACAGCAGAATATGAAACTATTTATGATGGGGTAGATGCTACTTTGTCCTACCTAAAAGAGCAAGGATGTACTAGATGTTGTGCCACTCTTAGTCATGGGGGTAAATGGAAAGCAACTATAAAAACCACTTCTGGTAAGAGGGAAGACGGATCCAGAGACTTCATTGATCCGTGTATTCTAGATTGTAGTAGTGGGGTCAAGCATTCTTGTAAAACCAACGAACATTATGACAATGCTTGTAGAGTAGTTAAAGATGAGCTCTGATCTTGTGGTGAACGGTTTCAAGACAAATCGCTTATCGAACATTAAGCAAAAAACACTCAAACAGATTTTTCAGATATCTTAACAAATTCAAATATATTCATATCGAAACTCTATAATCAATACATATATTTTAAAAGAATTAAAAAAATAAAAGATATATATATATATATATATATTTATTTAAAAGCGAAATAAACAAAACACGAAGGCTTCATGGTTAGCCACTTGTAAGGGTTCGATCCCCTAACCTGTGACCATTGTTCTCTGAGGCGGTCGTAGTGTATATCGGTTTTGGCATCTTCTGCTTTGCTAAGTCTTTTGTCTTCTTGTTTGATGACTCGTGCTGCGTGTCTGGCTTGGCCCGGTTGAATTAGGGTGCCTTTGACAAGAGCGGGTGGGGCTTTGCGTTTGGAGCTATGGTTGAATCCAAGGTATTCGTTTGGGAATTCTTCCTGTTTGTCGAAGCGGTCATATATGGTTTTGACAGGTATTGGTGTTGGTGTTGGTGAGTCGTCGGTATTAGCGTTGACTGACATTTGACCGACCGGTTTCTCAGTGTGGGGATCATGATTATAGTGGGAAATTGGCGACTGTATGTATGGTGACTTCGCTTGTTCCTGCTCCTCGGCGTTGTTACGTGAGGCGTATGATGCTGCTTTCGGAAACACCTCCTGTTCTTGCGTATCAGTGCCATTCTGCGGGGTGTATGAAATTTCTTTCGGGAGCTCGTCCTGGGCTTGCATAGGGGTGTCATTTAAGGTAGGATATATTTCGTTTGTGGGCTCCTCCTGTGCCCGCTCATCGAGGTCGTTTTGTGATAGATGTGATGTTTCTTCTTGTGGGGTTCCTCTTGTTCTTGTATGTGTGGGTCTGGTTCGTTTTGTGTGACTGATGCGGCTTCGTTTGAGGATTCTTCCTCTCCTACTTCCTCTTCTTCATCGTCGGTAGAGTCGGTGTGGCTGTCGTCATAGTTGGATGATGTTGGGGAACGATATGCGAATGAGTGGTTTGCACTGTAGATAGTATTGATATTGGTTATCCCAGGAAATTCGCTTTCGTTATAGTGTACATTACGTGATGTTAAGATATCGTCGTTGACTTGGATGAGTGCTCCGTTTGATTGTTTATCGAAGCCAAAGGAATATGCCCGGGGATCTTATCGGGCATATCGTGTTAGTTGTAAGGGACGGGTGTTGTATATATAATAGACATCCGAAAGCTTTTAGTCGATGAAGAGGGGGTAGGATTTCAAATAGTCCTTCGATTGGGGCAGTTTCTATACTTGAGTGTGGGCTGCAATTCTTGATATGTGTGTAGTAGTTCATTACAAACATCCAGTAGTCATTTGGTAGTTTAGCATCAGTTAGTATTGTCGCAATGCTTGTTTGTATAGTTTGATTGTAGCGTTCTGCGATGCCGTTGGCCGATGGTGCATATCCTGCAGTGTATTCATTGATTATTCCATGCTTTTGGTAGTAGATAATGAGACGTTCTGACATATACTATTTTGCTCTATCTGAGTGTATCTTTTTAACTTGGTGGCCTGTTTGACGTTCGATTTCAGTGTGTAGTTTTGTGATGACGTCAAAGATTTCGCTCTTGTATTTGAGTAGAAAAGTGCAGGCATATCTTGTATATTCATCTATAATTAAGAGGATCTATTTCTCATCCATTACTTTTTGAATGTTCATTAGGTCGGAGTGTAGTATGTTTAGTGGTCCTTTTGCTTTATTGAGTTTCCCATCAAATGAGGGTTGGTTTGTTTTATTCATCTTGCAGCTGTCACAGTTTATCCTTTGGTTGCGAGGAAATGTGATGTTGTAAAGTCTTTTCAACAGGTTGCGGGTTGCCTGTTCGTGTAGGTGTGCGATTCGTGTATGCCATTGGGTTAATGACGCTTTCTTCATACTCTAAACTGAGAAAATATACTTTAGGACGTTGTAAATTGGGTTTACACTGAGTTTAAAAAGTAATTTTCCGTTTATGAATGGCACGTCGTACACGAGTTTCCCGTTATGACTGTTGTGGAAAGTTGCCCGATATGGTGGCTTGCAAAATAGGTATAAATTGTATTCTTCGAGTAGCTTTTTCGATAGGATTGTTGAAGTGTGATGTGGACTATAGTACGCTTCTTTTTCGATCCAGCTGATAGTACCGTTCTGATATCCTAGGTTGAGGTGCATTGTCCTGACGAGTGATGATTTTGCATCTCCGCTAATTGTGCTGAAGCGTTCAGGCGTGTGGAGTTGTCTTACATTGGTGAGTAGGTCTAGTCTGCAAGTGTATGTAGCGTCTGAACCTCGATCGAAGAGTGAGACATCAGGGAGTAAGTGTCCTGTTAGTAATGTTTTATAGTTCTCAGATGATAATTGTGATTTATAGTTTGGTTGTGTGTATGGTTTGTTGATGGAGCGATGGTTCTCAAATTTGTTGAACTGCCTTTTATTCATATGTTGTTTGTTTTTAAGTTCTGGATGTAGGTGTCCGAATTCATTTTCAGTGTGTGTGTGGTACTTTATAGTTATTGTTCAAACAGTAGGAGCATGATTTGATATCGATTCTATTCAGTAGTTCGGTTGTTTGGTTTGGTTCATGTTTTGGTGTCGTTCCGTTGACTTGATTTACCAATTACTGTTATTTGGTGGCTCTAGTTTTATTTATTTGTTATAATCTTCCACAATTTTGTTTGTTAGGTCATCATAGCTAAGGCCGTCTGAATTATCTAAGTAATGACGTTTCATTGTATTTAAATCAGTTGCTAATGCTTATAATGCTCTGTATTTCAAAAGTTTTTCGTCTGTGATAATGCCTTCCTTTTGTAATTTGATGGATAACTTCTTTAAATCCCTTATAAAACCTCTTAGCATCCTCTCCGTATGCAAATGTTCTGTCAATAAAGTCTGTGTATAGTGCTGCTATGTCTTATTTTGGTTCGAATAGTTTACAGATATCTTGAAAGAAAGCGGAGGCATTATTTGTTTCGTCGATTCTGTTTAAGATATCGGTCGATATGGATTTTATTAAAACGTTGAATAATCTTTTGTGTCTTTTCTTATATATATTTTCAGCGTTGACAGTATCTTCGTTTGATGGTGTAGTTTGGTCTATTTTCATTTGTGTCTCTTTTGAGTATTGGTCGTTTTTATTTAATAGTTCTATAGCGTTTGATAAGTTGATTCTTCCGTATAGAATGTCTTTGCTGTTTTCATTTTCAGCGAATATTTTAATGTGCGCCTTCAGGGTTGTAATTCTTCTTCTTTGGCTAATTTAATTATATCGGGTGTGCTGTTCATTTTTATATTCTGTGAAGGTTGCTTATTTTTGAGTTATTGGAGCTCATATTTTTGATTTTTTGTGAAAATTTGCATGACCAGAGCCGCTGCCCCTGAGGTGGCGGTGAATATCAAACGCGCTTTATTATTGGTTAAAAAGTATTAAGTATAATGTGATCCAAAGTAGATGGCTTTTTTGATACAAGATATGGTTTAGTTTTCATTGTTGCCCGAATATCATTATTGTTGGCCGTATATCCATTGTTGTTGTCCGAGTATTGGTGCGTAATTACCTGTCCCTGTTTGTCCCTAGTTACTAAATGATGCTATATATCCAGCTCTGTATCGGTATTCTGACAGTGAAGGCTTAGATCCTCCCTTCACAAGAGGATAATAGGTTCGAATCCAATACGGTGCAAAAGCATCTCAATTTACTACTCCGGTCAAGAAACGCTTCCAATTGAATCCTACAAACTCAAAAAGTAAAATGATCCTGACTCTATAAGAATTATTGATCGACGAAGTTATAATTTGTACGTTTTAACAATATATTGAGTTTTCATCACCATTGCATCTCCGAGAGATACGTAAACCAGGATGGAGAACCTGATAAAGAGACACACTACTTTAAGGCTCACAAAAAACAAATGTGTTTATATTACGCTGAAGTAGCAAGCTTCAGATGTGGCACAAAACAAAAAGGAGGATGTACCAGTCGGTATGAAATTTAGATAACTTCTTTTACATTTACTAACATTTTGTTTATATACAATATTTGTTACCTTATATAGTTTCCATTGTCCACATGTTCTTTACTGTCCTCTTATTACTGATTATATTCTGGTACCTCACCACTAAATGGCGCTGTATGCTCGGCGGCTATAAGGATCCTGGCGGTATAATACTTCTGATGTCTTTACATTATTCCAAAAGACTGGATGTAAACAATGGAACATTTGCTAAAGGACCAAATAGACTAGATGACTCACAGGATGGAATTTCAATAGTCAGTGTTACAGGATTGATAAATAAGTAAGGCTCGTCACTAGTACGAGCAGCAAAACCATAAAAATAAAATAAAAAAATGAAGAACTTAATACCAAGGTAGTCGTTGAAGAACAACAACTTCATATAAAGTCCATGATAACAAGTTTTTGTCGCTTATACAGAAACGTAGATTGGACACCTAGATTCTATTATGATCAGAAAACTGAAAAAAAAACGAAAGAATATACCTCTTTGCGGAGAGGGAATATAAGTGGTATGAAGAGTATTTATTCTTCGTCACTTTACCCATATTCTTCTGGAATGTTGCCATAAAGTGTTCTTGCTAGGTACTGGTAATCAACCTGACCCTACTGTTATCGTCCCTACAGGGAAGTTACGTCCGCAGTTTAAACAGCAAATACCCTAATGATATAACTAAGAGAATTGTATTATTGTTTCAAACCGAATATTCAAATCCCATATTCAGGCTCACAAGAGAGCACTACAAATACCACTTATTGCTTACCTCAGGAATTAACATTTGTATCATTAAGTTTAATTACATAAGTCTCCACTATTACACATGTATCAAAAACTTGGAAAAGACATTTTCTGTCTCTGCGTCTTATATTTAGAGAATTTTACACAACGATATCAGTATGTGCAGCCTATCATAGAAGACAGTAAGCATACCATTGTCTTTGGAAGATAGTGCTACGTGTCTTACATGTAATATCGGTATAAATTGCAGAAAATTGAGTATTATGTGTGGGCCCGGGTCTTTGCCATGGCTGGATTACTTTTCGACTGTGATACCCTAGGAGCTGAACCTGCACAAAATTCAAACGACGATGTAGTATATAATGACTTCAATGATATCATTTAGAAATAAGTTTATACATCTATAAAATCTGTGTTGCTAGACTAAAATCAATAACAAAATAAATCAACAATAAGCATACAAAAATGCATAAAAAAGTTGGAGCAGCCCGGAATTGAACCGGGATCGGAAAGAAACAACAAGTTACTTCGCTGTGAAGGAAAGAACTATGCAAGCCTTCAATGATAACCATTACACTACTGCCCCGGTTGATGTCAGAGATTTTTACAACGTGTGATATCCGCAGATGCGCCACACGTGTGAAAATTTGAAAGTCATGGTTTTCTTTGTTCCACAAAAAAGAGTGGGTTAGTGATTCTTACAGACTAGGCACTGACAGCCTGTTTACAATATATGAAGCCGAGTTAGTAGGAGTCTATCTAGCATTAATGCAAGTAGAACGTGAGTTCATACCCCCACACATTCCGACCCCACATACTGTCTTCATCCTGTCAGAATACAGATACAGGGCTGAACATACAGCATCATTTAGTGACTAAGGATAGAAGGAACAAGGAGTTACACCAAGAACCAAGAGGAACACCGAGGCGCAGTAGAGGACAAGAGGACGACAAGGAACATGAGGACAGTAGAGACTATATAAAGAAACATATCTTGTAAAATAAACTATCATCTTAAATGATCATTCTATAACGTACTTATACTTTCACAACCTATAATAAAGCGTGTCTGATATTTACGTACCAACAAGTTATCAGCTCCAATACTCGAAGCAACCAAATATAATCATACTATAAGAAAAATGACCGACACACCAAACACATTCAAATTAAACAGTGAGGAAGAATTCCCACAATGGAAGGCATACATCGAATCTTTCGCCGACGATGAGAATAGCGAAGAAATCCTAAACGGGAATATCACACTAGCCAATGCTACAGAAATATTAAAACAAAATTGACTAAAGTCAAGAAGAAAACAATAT